CCTCCGGAAAACCGGGGGGGGTTCACTACCGGTTCGAACCCCTCCCCCCCCCCCCCCCCCCCTGCTCAGAATGAAAAGGGGGAGGGGTCACTACCGGTTCGAACCCCTCCCCCCACCCCCCCCCCCCCCCCCTCCGGATCCGGAAAACCGGGGGGGGTCACTACCGGTTCGAACCCCCCCCCCCTCGAAAACCGAGTGGGGGTGCGGACAGTGGTGGGGACGGTGTTGGTGGGGACAGTGGTGAGGGGATAGCGGGACAGTGGTGGGGACAGTGGGACAGTGGGACAGTGGTGGGGACGGTAGTGGTGGGGACAGTGGTGGGGACAATGGTGGGAACAGGGGGGACAGTGGACAGTGGTGGTGACGGTGGTGGTGGGGACAGCGGTGTGGGGACAATGGGAATGAGGTGGAAACAGTGGGACAGTGGAGGGTACAATGGTGGTGGGGACAGTGGTGAAGGCGGTGGCGAGGACGGCGGTGGGACAATGGGACAGAGGTACAGTGGGGACAGTGGTGGGGACAGTGGGGACAGTGGTGGGAACAGTGGGACAGCTCAGTGGGACAGCGGAGGAGTCAGTGGGACAGTGGGGACAGTGGGGATAGTCGGGCAGTGGTTGGGGCCGTGGAGACAGTGGGGAGAGTGGAACCGTGGTGGGAACAGTTCTGGGGACAGCGGGGACAGTGCGACAGTGGTGGGGCCACTGGTGGGGACAGTAGGGGCGGTGGTGGAACCAGTGGGACAGCGGTGGTGAGGACAGCGGTGCTGGGAACACCAGTGGGGGATGTGATGCGGACGGTGGTGGGGACCGGGAGGTTTGCTGGCGGTGAGTAGGGGGGGGGAGGAGGGGGGGGGGGGGGTTCGAACCGGTGTGACCCCCGGTTTTCCGGATCGGAGGGGGGGGGGGGGGGGTGGGAGGGGTTCGAACCGGTAGTGACCCCCCCCGGTTTCGAGGGGAGGGGGGGGGGGGGGGGGTTAGGGGAGGGGGGGGGTTTTGCCGGGGGAAGGGGTGGGGGGGGGGGAGGGGTTCCAGCAGGGGGGGGGGATTTTCGGAGGGGGGGGGGGGCGACCCCCGGGTTCCGGAGGAAAAGGTTGGCAATTTTCCACAGTAAAGCGGCGGTGGATCACGCTCTCTACGGCGGTGGATCACGCTCTCTCCATTATCGATATCACTATCGATCTCGCTATCGATCTCACTATCGATCTCACAATCGATCTCACAATCGATCTCACAATTGATCTCACATTCGGTCTCACATTCGGTCTCACTGTCGATCTCACTATCGATCTCACAATCGATCTCACAGTCGATCTCACATTCGGTCTCACATTCGGTCTCACTATCGATCTCACTATCGATCCCACAATCGATCACACTATCGGTCTCACAATCGATCTCACAGTCGATCTCACAATCGATCTCACAATCGATCTCACATTAGGTCTCACATTCGGTCTCACCGTCGATCTCACTATCGATCTCACAATCGATCTCGCAGTCGATCTCACATTCGGTCTCACATTCGGTCTCACTATCGATCTCACTATTGATCTCGCAGTCGATCTCACTATCGATCTCACAATCGATCTCACAATCGATCTCACAATCGATCTCACATTCGGTCTCACATTCGGTCTCACTGTCGATCTCACTAACGATCTCACAATCGATCTCACAGTCGATCTCACATTCGGTCTCACATTCGGTCTCACTATCGATCTCACTATCGATCTCACAATCGATCTCACTATCGATCTCACAATCGATCTCACATTCGGTCTCACTATCGATATCACAATCGATCTCACAATCGACGTCATCATCATCATCATCATCGCCATCATCAACATCAGGGGACACCGACGGGACACCGACGGGACACCGGCGGGACGCCGGCGGGACACCGCGCGCCACCGGCCGCCCGGTGGAGAATCATTTGGTCCGGCCGCGCCTCAGCCACAGAGGACACCACCGGGACACCGGCGGGACACCGCGCGCCACCGGCCGCCCGTTGGAGAATCATTTGGTCCGGCCGCGCCTCAGCCACAGGAGACTTTCCTCTCGCCCGCCCACGCAGCTTCGCCTCGCCCGCACGCACGGCACGCACGAACACGAAACCGAAATCGATTTCCCGGTAGGGGGGGCTCTCCGTTCCACTTCGATCTCACCCCCTCACCTCCGATTTCTAGTTCGCGCGCGCGGAGCGGCCCCATGGGGGCCCCCGGACAAAAAGTACCCCGGCAAGATCCCGGGAGAAGCCCCCAGAGCACTCCAGGGGAGGGCCACACCCCTCACGAGGATCGTGGCCTCTGAGGGGGGAGCCGCAATCGACTACCCCCCCTCCCGCCCCAAGAGGCCCCCAGAAGCCCCCCAAGAGGCCCTGGGGGCCCCCAAGACGCCGCCAAGGAGCCCCAAGAGACTCCCAAGAGGTCCCCAAGAGGCCCCCAAGAGGTCCTAAAGAGGGCTCCAGGGCCGGCGGAATGAGCGAAGCGATTAAATAACCGATTTTCCCTTAGTCGTTGGAGGATTTTGGCGTTGTCGCCTTTTCAGCTTTCCCGACGCTCGCAGACAGCCCCCAAGACCGCCCCAAGACGGCTCAAGAGGCCTCCAAGAGGGACCCAAAACGGCCCAAGAGAGCCCCAAGACAAGCCAAAAGGCTCCCAAAACGGCCCAAGAAGGCCCCAAGACGGCCCAAAAGGGCCGTAAAGAGGAAACACACATCGACAATTCAAGCCGTCCACCCGAGTAAGCCTCCAGAAGGACCCAAGAAGTGCTAAGAGGAGGCCCCAAGAGGACCCCAAGAGGCCCAAAAGAGGACCCAAGAGGCCCCCAAGAGACCAAAAAGAGGTGTCTAAACTGCCTCCAAGAGGCCCTCGAGTCCTCCCACGAGATCCCAACGAACATCCGATATGCTTCATGCCCACAACCCAGGCTCGGTGGCGGGATGGGATGAAGGCCATTCGTTATTCTTGGGCGTGCGGGATCCTGCTGGGAGGGTGGATTGGAAAACAGGGTGGCGAAATCATCAATTATTGTTGGCCGGGCGGGCGGCAAAGAGAAGGTTTCCCTGGACTGGCTTACGGAGGACAGCCTGTGGGGCGAAGCCTACGGGGGCAACCCGTGCGGGGCAACCTATGAGGGGGGGGGCAGGCTATGGACGGGACGACGACGAAGAGCTACTAATCCAAGGCAGGGTCGTAAGTCACCTTCGATCCCTCATCCACCGGCACAACGCTGCGTGCGCGGGCTCCTTTCCCGAGGCACCACGGGCGGCCATGGCCTCTGCAAATTAGGGCTTACCACAGCCTTCCAAAACGCGACGGGCCGCCGAGTCCGCCGGTGGACAGCTCCACGTGATCCTCAAACGGCCCAGCACGGCCGCGGCTTCATATGGGAAGCGTATTCGGTGGGAGGCACCACGCAGGTGACCCACAGGCGGGTGGAAAATACACTCCCATTCAATACATGCCCCGCATGGAGCAGGCAAGCACCATGGAGGTGGCTCAGAGGCGGGTGAGTATCCCGGAAAGTGGTCGCAAAAATAACACGGGGTCACTTACACCCCTGGCCCCAACATGCAGTGATGTACTCACATCCGCATGAACCCATGTGACCCACAAGCGTGTGGGTTCCCCGAAAAAATGGCTGAGAAAATCCTTCGTGTCAATTGAATTCTGGGCCCCAAGCAGGAAGCAAAGTATTCCCATTCAATACATGTCCAGCATGAAACACGCACCACGCAAGTGATCCACAAGCCGGCGGATCACTGGAAAACTGGTTGAGAAAACAATGTGGCTAACTTGTTTTCTGGGCCCCGCCATCAGATGATGCGTTCCCGTCCAATGCATTCCCCGCATGAAGCAGGCACCACGCAGGTGACCCACAGGCCGGTGGGCCACGCGAAAAGTGGTTGCGAAAAACCGATTGTTTCACTCGCATGCTAGGCCCCAGCAAGAAGTGGTATGCTCCCATCGAATGGATTTCCCAGATGAAGTAGGCACCACGCAGAAGACCTGCAGGCGGGTGGGTCACACGTAAACTGGTTGTGAAAAGCAAGCAAACTGTTTCACTTGTAGCATTGGCCCTGGCGATGTTCGAGGCTTCGTTGTCCTCGGGGGCCTCCCTCGTCGCCGCGGCTGGATACAGCTCGGACAGCTGATGCGCATGGACGGCCTAGGGGTGAGCAGGGCGAGGACGAAACGGGGGGGGTCACGAAGGAGGAGGAGGAGGAGGAGGAGGAGGAGGAGGACAAGGAGGAGGAGGAGGGCGGGGCGCAGGCCGATGCGCCCCCTGAAGCCCCGGTGGCGACCAGGGGGCCCTGTCCGTGGAAGGGCAAGGGGTCCACCCGCCACTGCGGGAGCCGCTGCCTGCGCGAGGAGCGCGTGCGGCGCCACCCGAAGGGACACCCAGCCGCGGAAGAGCCGCACTCGTGGGGCCCCAGAGGTAACTCCCCCTGGAGACCTCGCCGCGGACGCATCGAGCACGAGGGGGCCCCCCAGGAGGCATGCGGGTCGGCGAGCCTATTCGGCTGCTCAACGCCCAGGGTGCCGAGATAAACAGACGAGCCGGCGGCAGCTGCAGGTGCGTGTCCTGCAGAAGATGATCCACACGTCAAAGGTCTCCTCCTCCTCCTCCTCCTCCTCCTCCTCCTCCTCCTCCTCCTCCTGCTCCTCCCCTCCCTCTCCTCCTCCTGCACACGCGGAGTCCCGCCAGCGTCGAAGGCCGCGGCGCCCTCGGCAAGGAGCATGACGGCCGCGCCGCAGGTTCCGCCACCGCCGACGCAGCCGCAGCGCCGCCGCCTCTGAAGGGGCCCTGGGGCACACAAAGACATCGACACAAATATAGCAGGGTTCCCCATGGTTTCCCAGATCTTCCTGGGTTTTGCCTTCCCCCCCATGTCCCATACCTTCCCACCTTTTCTGGGGAACCGACGATTCATGTGTCTGTGTGCTTTTTGTCCCCTCCTGACTCTCCTCCGGCGCCGCCCGCCCCCCGCGCCCGCCCTCGGCAGGGTCCTCCGGTCCACCGCGAGGCCGCTCTGCTCCTGGAGCGACTCCAGCTTCTCGGCGGCGGTCGAGGACTCCTGCAGGAGGGGCCGCGCCGCCGCGGCGCACCCGGATGCCCCGGCCACACGGCTGCCACTGCGGTGCTTCCTCGACGCCACCCTCGGGGGCCGTGCTGGCCCGGGGCCATAGAAATGCCTCCGGGAGAAACGTAGACGAGCGCGTTCCACTAGTCGCAGAGTGACTGCTCGCAGATGGCCTGGATCCGCCGCGGGGGATCTGGGATGAGCCTCCTCGAAGCGAGCCCACGTGTTTCGGACGTTTGCGAGCAGGCACTTTGCGAGTAGTGGGACGCGCTTGGTGAGAAAAGACGACCCCCAACGGAAGCGGTCGGGACCTCTGGGGCCACGGGTTGAACAAAATCAGATCGGCTGATGCCACAGAGATCGCGAACCGGGACCGGATCGGAAACGGACAGGACAAAATCGCCAGCGAGTCGTCCAAGATCGGATCAGAGGCCGGATAGCCGCGCCCAGCTCCGAGTGGGCCTGGCCGACGCCGGTGAGCCGAACCGATCGGGCCGCCGCGCCTGGCTGCGCCTGGCCCCAGCCGGTGCTGGTGAGCCGAAACCAATCAAATCGAATCAGAGTCGCGGGCCCAGCGGGCGAATCGAATGGCATCGAATCCGCCGACCCCGTGTATGTATCTCCAGGCGCGTGAGGTGGTTCCCCCCTTGAACCTCCAGGGCCCCGCAACTGAGGTTCCACGGAAGTTCCCGGGGCTTCCAAGAAGGTCCAGACCGCCCATAAAGATTCAAATGCGGCCTTCGCATGCTTCCAAAACTTGTCCCAGATCGATCCAGCACGGCTCAAAATGGCCTCGAGATGGTCCAAGAGGCCACCCAAACTGCCCATCGGAACCTCGAGGTGGCGCCCAAGAACCCTAAACCATCGAAATCCGATCAGACGTTGGATGTTTTTGGATTTGCAGCCTTTCCGGTACTCAACGCGCGCTCAAGACGCGCTATGGGTTCTGGACAGACCACGAAGCTCGCAAAACGCCTCACAAGGCCCCTCAAGGGCCTCCAAGATGCTTCCAAGAGCGGCAGAACGGCGTAACAGGCCCCAAAACGGCCCAGAAGGCCCCCGATATGACCAACAAAAACCCACCAAGGTCCAAAGAAGACGCCACAGAGAGCACGAAGAACACGAACCCGCATGTCGACTGTTCGCCTGAAGAGCCCCGAGAAAGTTCGACGAGGACCCAAACAGGCCCTCATGTGCTCCAACAAAACATAGGACGACCCCACAGGGCCCCAACAATAATTCCAGAACGCCCTCAAGAAGAGGCCCCAAGGGGCCTCAGAGGAGGCACCAGAGAACCTCGCAAGCGGCCCCGACAGAAATGCTGCAACGGCCCCATCACGGCTCGATCGAATTCAACAACGAACACAAATAAAGACAACGCATCATGGTTGTCTCACCATGTTCGTTTGTCTCGGGGGTTGCATTCGAGCACACGCCAGGAGGTGCGACTCCCGGGTTTGTTACTTGTTCTGCGCAGGTTTTGCATAGGCGTCAGCGGAACAGCACGCATGCTTAAGTGGTCCATCTCTTTATACCATTCCGCCTCCTCCCCCGCCTCCTCCTCCTCCTCCTCCTCCTCGTCCTCCTCCTCCTCCTCCTCCTCCTCCTCCTCCCAAGTAATGTCATCTTTCTCTTTCGCATCATCGCACTCACCGCTCGCTCTCTGCCAGTTCGACGCAAACGCCAATTCGATATCCCGGGCGGTCATTTCAACGGGCATCACGCGCACGACATGCACTGCAAAGTGTCACCATGGTGGGAACGCGCGAAGCGGCCCCACCACGAACTCGGATATCGGGAGCTCCCGCCTGCAAATGCACGGGAACCCAAACGCTCGCCAGCTGGGAACCGCAAGCCCTGCTCCCGTGCACGCCGCGCACACGACTTTGCTTCCCTTCGGGAAGTGCGCCGTCTCTGGCGCGCTGCTCGTGCGACCGTGCCGCGGGAATCCCTGGCCGCGCGCCGAGCGCGTCAATTGTCATCCCAACCGCTTCGCAGCATCGGCCACTCTCTTCACGGTGACGCGCCGCTTGCACCGTGCCCCGCTTGCCACTCTCACGCCTCTGCTTCCACTGCGCTCCTGCACCTGGCGCTGGTCCAAACGGCCCGCGTCTCATATCGCCACCCCGCATGGTGGGCCACCATGCGCGAACGCCCCCCGCTCCGCCTCTGCTATCCTCTTGCAAGTCGCCGCAGCGCAAGTCGACGACACGGCCCCCCCCCCGTTGACCATCGGCCAAATATAACGCCGCCGCGCCTTGCTTCCAAATGCCCCCGCGACGCTTCCGCGTCTCCATGGGTAAGCGCCCGCGCTCCGTCCGTTGAGCAGGGACCGACCGTCCCAGCATTCCTAGTCCTCCCACGAACTTCTCGTAGAACCCAAAAACGCTCTTAGAACAAAAACAGTGCTGTTAGAACATATACCCGCTGCGTTAAAACAAGACAGACTCCGCCAGAAATGTTCTAAGAACAGTTCGCGGAAACCACACAAAAGTTGTTAGAGCATTCTTTGGTAGGGCTATAGGCGAGCCCAGACGCTTCGCCAGTGCTTGAGAGTCCGCGGCCGCCCACCCAATTGGCGGCGCCGGCGCGCGCGCCTTCTTCTGAGCATCGCTGCCCGCGCATTGTGCGGGGCACTACGGCCGGGCGCGCGTCGCGCTCCCCCGCGCCGCCTGCCCCGCCGCCGCCTCCATGTCGAACTCCCCGCCGGTGCACTTCTGGGGGGCCACGCGCGAACCCTACCCCCGCCCCCCACGATTTCTGAGGGGAAGGGTGGGGTTCACCTTGCTCGGGAGCTGCCGAACGAAGTGAACCCCACCCTCTCCCTCAGAAGTCGTGGGGGGGGCAAGGGTAGGGTTCGCATGTGGCCCCCAAACTTCGCCCATCGCCACCCTCCTCTCTCCTCGCCCGCGCCTCGCACGTCGCGCGCCGCGCCCCGTCGGCGCCGCTCCTCTCCAGCGCGCAAGCCTGGACAAGAAGCAGCCCGTCGCTCTGCCGAAGCCCGCGCGCCGCGGACGCCGCCCCCGGGGCGGCCCCCGCTAGGGGGCCACGCGCGAACCCTACCCCATACCCCCATACGACTTTTGAGGGGGAGGGTGGGGTTCTCTCCCCCTCAAATCAGGGGGACGTAAGACCTGGGTACAGGGAACCCGGAAATCCCCGACGAGGTCGTCAAAAAATGTCGAGGCCGAGCCTGCATTTTGACGAGGCCTCCCGCTGCAGACATCCCACGAAACTCCTCCTCGTCAAAATCCGAGGCGCGGTCGTCAAAAAACGATGGCGAACAGAAATCGTGGGGGGTAGGGGTGGGGCTCGCGCGTGGCCCCCCGGCAGCCCCCGCGCCTCGAGGCGCCAGCTCCCAAAAAGCCCCCGCGCGGAGGCCGTGCGGCGGGCTCTCCGCGCGCCGGCCAGCGCTCCCCCCCCCTCTCTTTGCGCGGCTGCCCGTCAGAGGCCTCAAGTCGGGCGCGTCTCCCTGCAGGGGGATCTTGAGCGAAAAATATATGTTTTGGATAGCGTTACCCCCCTCTCTCTTGGCGCGGCTGCCCGTCGGAGGCCTCGAGTCGGGCGCGTCTCCCTACAGGGGGGACCTTGAGCGAAAAATATATGTTTTGGATAGCAGCCGTAGGCGAGCGCGCCAACGGCGAGTAAGGTCCGAGCGGGCCGCGCGGGGGCCGAATTACCTAGCGCGGAGCAGAGCAAGACCTACCGCCGAAGCCTCAGCGCAACCGCCAAGCCTCAGCGCCTAAGCGTCAAATAAAGAATCTCCCAAAAATACACCCCAACTGCCAATTACCCTGTGACGTACCCGACCCATTTGTATCAATGGAAACGAGGAGTTGGCCGAAACTTGCATAGACAATCAATTTGATGTGTAAGCTACTTGGGACACGCGCCTATGGCATGATGCGCAGGAGAACCATACAAGAACCATGGGCGACAGCTACAGGCTCGAAGAGGACATGGGGAGTCGGGAACGCAGAGAAGGAGGAAAACGTGCGGGAAGCCGAACCATCAGCACGGCAGCAGCAGAGGGAAGGTGCCTGCAGGAGGAGAACAAGGACGAAAGCGGCGTCTAATTTGAGTCTGCGGTGGGTACCCACTGTGCTGTGCCCCTCAGCAGCCCTCGAAAGTGGCGACAGTTTCACAGATCGCAGCCCACCAGGGATGGCGAGGTCTAATTTGAGTCTGCGGTGGGTACCCACTGTGCTGGGCCCCTCAGCAGCCCTCGAAAGTGGCGACAGTTTCACAGATCGCAGCCCACCAGGGATGGCGAGGTCTAATTTGAGTCTGCGGTGGGTACCCACTGTGCTGTGCCCCTCAGCAGCCCTCGAAAGTGGCGACAGTTTCACAGATCGCAGCCCACCAGGGATGGCGAGGTCTAATTTGAGTCTGCGGTGGGTACCCACTGTGCTGGGCCCCTCAGCAGCCCTCGAAAGTGGCGACAGTTTCACAGATCGCAGCCTCCCAGGGATGGCGAGGTCAAAGGCAGGGGGGAAGAGAGGGACGGGAAGGAAGGAAGGAAGGTTCGCGCGAGCAGTGCTCTATTCAAAACGAGAACCCAACGCAGGAGGGTTGGGAAAAAAAGTACAGCCGGGCTGCTGAAGTAAGGAACGATCAATAAGGAACGATGCCCCGTTTGGCCCCCAAGTCGCCTGCGTGCACGAGGAGGGCTAGAGGAACAACCATGGAAGGACCTGAGCAACATCGAGCCCCTTCCGACCCCAAACTGTTCCTTACTTCAGCGTCTTGGCTGCAGTCAGATACTAGTCCCCGGCTATTTTTGGGGGCTATTTTCAATTATTCCTCCCGTAGAGGGACAAACCCGACATAAGCAAAACCCGCCGGTCGCGCGCGCGCGACGGGGCTGGAGGCCCGATCTGCGCCGCGCCCCCCCTCCAGGTCCACCGACGCTGCGCCGGCTGCGCGCCCGCGCGCGGCGTGTGCCGCCGCTGCTGGCGACTGGGCGATCTCGGCTACACGCAAGAGTGATCCTGGGTAAGAGTGCCCATTGGTGCGCGGCTCTTTGGGGGCCGCGGGGGGACCAAACTTAAGCGCGCGAGACGTTTTTATCGCATCGCGCTCGGCGATCGGGGGGCCCCCATGAGCCCGCGCCAAAGGTCACTCCGGCGAAGGGTCACTCTTACGCGCAGTCGAACAGACTGAGTGGGCGTCGCGTCGCGCCCAGCGATGGTCTCAATCGACGCCCGCCCCAAAGAGTTTCTTCCCCCAAGAAACATCTTTGGAACCGTCGACGCCCTGTCTAGAATTACTTGGGGGATCAGACTGGGGGAAGCGCGACTGGCTCGCGCGAGTCCCGCGCTAAGGCTCTCGCCAGCCGCCACAACGCCGCATTGTCTTCACCTCCCGCGCCCCCATCCTCACGCACCGCCCGCCCGAGGACCCTTCTTGCGCGCCCCCGGAGGCATGCAGAACAACAAAAAAAAAAAGGCGCGAGCCCATCGGAACGCATGACAACCAACGCACAGGCACGAACCCATTGGAATATCCAGGGCGCCATGAAAAAAAACGCGCAAGCACGAGCCCATCGAAAAACATAACCACAAACGCGCAGGCGCAAGCTCCCCGGCCCCGGCCCCGCTCTCATCCGATTCATTCCCCCCTGTGCTCCTACTCCTCCTGATCCTCCTCTTCCTCCTGTGCCCCCCGTCATCTTCCTCCCCATGCTCCGCGCCCTCCTCCCCAACCACAAGCACAGGGTCGGCGGCACTGGCCGTAAGGCCTCCGCAAAACTGGCTTCGTGATTGCACGCGCGGATAAAACGAAGAAGTGAAACCTCGCATGCGGGCATCGCAACACGGATTTCGACCGAGAAGGGGGACTACTGACGCTCTGATGCTAAGTCGACGCATGTTTGACGCAGCCATCAGAGCAATGACGATGGGATGATTGTATTGTTGCTTGATTCGGCTAAAGCATTCGGTAGGAATAAGCCCGATTGTATGTGCGCCGCTCTGCGACGTTTCGGGCTTCCAGTAGACATGGTGGGTATGATTCAACGTATGCTGATATTTCACCATCGTGGACCACACCGGAAATTCTATTGAAAGGCGACAACGTGCGGGGATAGCACAAGGCTGCCCACTCTCTCCATACGTATTCATAACAATGCTATATGTGATGCTAAACGATGTGTTCAGAGACGTCCAGCTGGCCCCGAAACTCCCCTGTGATGGCGCGCGACATCCTCTATGCAGACGGCACAGTTCGGTATCCCAGCACAAGCACAACATGCAACACATCTTGGCCGCAAGTGTGGACGAAAATAAAAGAAAAGGTATCGAGTTGAACTGGGAAAAGACAATGCAGATGCACAGATCCACAAATGAGAAAGAGCGTGTTCTACCGCTGCTGGCGGAAAACCGGGGGGGTCACTACCGGTTCGAGCCCCTCCCCCCCCCCCTCCGGAAAACCGGGGGGGGTCACTACCGGTTCGAACCCCTCCCCCCCCCACCCCCCCAATTCATCATGAAAAGGGGAGGGGTCACTACCGGTTCGAACCCCCCCCCCCCCTCCCTCGAAAGCCGAGGGGGGGTCACTACCGGTTCGAACCTCCCCCCCCCCCCTCGAAAACCGAGGGGGGGTGCGGACAGTGGTGGGGACGGTGGTGGTGGGGAAGGTGGTGAGGGGACAGCGGGACAGTGGTGGTGACAGTGGGACAGTGGTGGGGACGGTAGTGGTGGGGACAGTGGTGAGGACAATGGTGGGAACAGTGGGGACAGTGGACAGTGGTGGGGACGGTGGTGGTGGGGATAGTGGTGTGGGGACAGTGGGAATGAGGTGGAAAGGTGGAAACAGTGGGACAGTGGAGGGTACAGTGGTGGTGGGGACAGTGGTGAAGTGGAACAGTTCAGTGGGACAGCGGAGGAGTCAGTGGGACAGTGGGGACAGTGGGGATAGTCGGGCAGTGGTTGGGGTGTGGAGAAAGTGGGGAGAGTGGAACCGTGGTGGGAACAGTGATGGGGACAGTGGGGACAGTGCGACAGTGGTGGGGGCACTGGTGGGGACAATAGAGACGGTGGTGGAACCAGTGGGGACAGTGGTGGTGAGAACAGGGGTGCTGGGAACAACAATGGGGGATGTGGTGTGGACGGTGGTAGGGACCGGGAGTCGTTTGCTGGCGGTGGGGGGGTGGGGAGGGGTTCGAACCGGTAGTGACCCCACCTCCGGTTTTCGAGGGGGAGGGGGGGGGGGGGAGGGGTCGAACCGGTAGTGACCCCCCCTCGGTCCCCACCACCACCGTCCCCACCACTGTCCGCACCCCCCCTCGGTTTTCGAGGGGGGGGGGGGGTTCGAACCGGTAGTGACCCCCCCCGGTTTTCGAGGGGGAGGGGGGGGGGGGTCCAGCAGGGGGGGGGGATTTTCGGAGGGGGGGGGGGGACCCCCGGGTTCCGGAGGAAAAGGTCGGCAATTTTCCAAAGTAAAGCGGCGGTGGATCACGCTCTCTCACAGATGAAACAAATACGCGACCACCTGTGGAGGCAATCAAAACTACGAGGGCCTCACAATATCTCGGTGGCCTCATCACATGAGATGGTAAAATAAGCGTAGAACTAACACGCAGATAAGGAGGAATCAAGCAAAGTGTTCAAACAGTTTGACTAGTTATGGAGCCACGCTTCTACTGGCAAAAATCGGAAGCTCACAATTTACAGAAGTTGCGTTGTCAGGAAGTTGTTGTATTAGTTGGACCCTATATCGTTGTTGAAAGCGGGCAGAGAACGATTAGATGCCTTTCACGGCCGATGTCTACGCAGAAGTTTGGGAATACCGCACTCGTACATATCAAGGGTCAGGAACGTGGACGTCTTCAGCAACAACGGTGACATTCCACTTTTTGAAGTTTTGCTTGGACGGCAGGGGAATTGATACAATAAAACATCTTCACATAGTAACGAATATTTGGTCAAGCACATACTTTGCGAGAGCAATGACGCGCCGAAAAGATGGGTCCGTCGCCAGAGAGACCGTCCACGACAGCAATGGGCCAAAGAAGTTTTTGAACGAACGAAATATTTGTGATTCGTGTTCTTTATCATCGTGATCTCCTCCCTCATCCCCCATCCTCCCCGCGCGCGTTTGGCGCGTCTGCGCTGCACCTGCACGTGTCTGGCGAGTCGCCTGGCTGCTTCCGCACGTGTTTGGCGCGTCTCAGGTCTGACCCCAAGCGCCCTCTGCACGTGTTTGGCGTGTCGCCCAGCTGTTCAGGCGCGTGTTTGGCGTGTCTCAGGCTTGTGCCAACGCATCCTACTGGACGCACGGCTTGCTGACTGACTGACTTGGCTGCTCGACATTTCGCACTCGCTTGTAGCTCGGATGATTTCAGATACCAAGCTGTTTCGCGCGCTTGCAAAGTTTATGTGATTCATTTGAATGCGAATGTCCACGTGACCTTCTGGTCGACTGGAGGCAAGGAGTGAAGCTCCTGTACGAGGTGTTCTCCGTACTTGGGGCGAGGTGCTCGCACGAGGCATCGGTCATGCTGCTCGTGCTTCCCAGTCATGCCTGCCAGCTTCTGGGGAGTGGTGCCCACCTTCCTTGGCGACCTCCTTGGCCTCTCGCTCCTCGCGTGCCTGGAGAAGCTCAGGGGTGGCGGCTGGCGCTATAACCATATCTCGGGAGCGGCCACGAGGGGGGTGTCCAAGAGGGGGGGGTGCAAATCATGACCGGCGGCATGTGCGCGACCCAGCGGGGGGGCCAGGGACGTGATGAAACAAGAAGAGGCGCCATGAAATCTGGGGAAACATCATGGCCCACGCCATTATATCCACCCCCCCTAGTCATCACCCCCCTCTTTTCCGCCCCCGAATATCGCTGCGCCAGCGAGCAGAGCCTCCAGAGTCCCCCTGGGGCGGAGCCTGGCGGCGCGGCGGGGAGGCGCCCCTGCCCCACGGGGGGCGCAGTCTGAGCAGGGGCGCGCTCCTGCCCTGGACTTCGAGGCGAGCCGGGCCGTGGCAGCGAGACACCAAAAAGAAAGCGGGATCGGTGCGTCTCGTCCTCCCCTTCTGATTTTGAGGGGCAACGCTGGGAGGGCACCGGCGGAAGCCTCGACACAGGATCGGCGACGCATCGCCCATCTGGCCATCGCTCGGACGTCCAATCCCAGTGTTTTTTTCGGTTGTTTTCGGTTTCGTGCGTGGCTTTTTCGCCAAATGATCAAGGATGCTCCTCGATGGTCCTCGCCGAAGGAAAAATGCACACGTCCGAGCGATGCCAAGGGGATCGGTGCGTCTCGTCCTCCCCTTCTGATTTTGAGGGGCAACGTCGGGAGGGCACCGGCGGAGGCCTCGACCCAGGATCGGCGACGCATCGCCCAGGGTTCGGCGGCAGGCCCCCCGAGGACGGAATCGCACGCTCCTGGGAAGGGTGGGGCTACCAGGACCGCATCGGCGATTCATGGGCGATTGGGAGTCGATGCGTCTCCCCTGAGCCGATCCTGGTTGACTGAGAATCGACCGGTAGCCAAACATGGCTGTTGAACATACATTGACAGCTCCCTCTCTCTCTCTCTCTCTCGCTACATGGGTAGTCATGAGCCACGCCTGCATCGCAAGAAAGAGAGGGGGGGCTGGGAAAGGAAATGATGCCCCTTGACAAAAACGTTGCCCCGATGCGTGCCGCCGCGATCGCCTCGGCGGCCTCCAAACCAAACCGGAAGTTTGGTTCGGGGTCGGATATCACGCAACGATTACCCGCCCCTACTGCTGCCCTTGACATACTTATTCCTGCTCTGATCTGCACTCGGCGTGGAGAGGAGAGCGTTCCTTGCCCCACGGGGTGTCGGGCAGGGCCGCCTGAAGGTCCTCGGGCAGCTTTGCGCGCGAAAGGATCGAAGAGGGATGGAGGGGGATCGAGGAGGATCGACGAGGAGGATCGAGGAGGAGGAACACTGCGGATCGAGGACGATGGAAAATCACGGATGGAGGATCGAAACGTATCGAGGAGAATCGGGGACGGAGGATCGATGATGGAGGATGGAAGATCGAAGACGAAGGACCGAAGTGCGCCGACGACGATCGAGGACGGAGGATCGAGGACGAAGGGGGATCGAGGACCGAGGACGGAAGAAACCGGGGCATCGGTCTCCGCCGCGGACTGTGCGGACACTGTCCCCGGGTTGCGTCCTCAATGACTCGGCCTTGGGGGGGCAAGCCGCGGAGGCACGCGGGCTCTCCGCTGAGCTGTGGCCGTGCCTGGCGCTCCTGTTAGATCTAAGGCGTCCTGTCCCCTCTCGTTCTCTCTCTCTCTCTCTCTCTTTCTTTATGTATTGTTTCCTTGTTCTCTCTCTCTCTCTCTCTCTCTCTCCTTTCTCTATATCTGTATGTCTTGCATTGTTTCTTCTCTATATATATACACATGTCTATACTTTCATGTTTCTCTTCATCCCCCATATCAATGTGTCTCCCTCTCTTCCAGTCTTTCTCGCTCTCTCTCTCTCTCTCTCCCTCTCTCTCGTTCTCTATCTCTCTCTCTCTCTGTCTATGGTTCTCTCTCTCTCTCTCTATTTCTCTTTCCCTCTCTTTCTTTCTCTTTCTTTTTTTATTTTTTGCAAGATGGCCCCAGGGGGGCCCAAAACGCCCCCCGAGCGGCACCAACGAACCCCACAGAGGCCCGCATCAGGCCCCAGCTCCCCAACAGGCCCCGACAAGGCGCCAAGCGACGCCAAAACAGCCCCCAAGAGGGGTAAAAAGTGTTTCCGAATAGCATCCTGTAAGCCTCTTGGGCCCCGTGGATTAGTACGGCGACGGTCAGCGAATCAATACACATATACATATATATATATATATATGAAAACATACATTTGTATACATACACAACATATAGATCCACAAACCTATGCATATCTACATGTATGTGTCTACACATGTGTGTGCGTATGTGTAAATATAGATGTTAAAGCTATGTGTGCATATATTTCTCTCTCTCTCTCTCTCTCCATTTCTCTCTCTCTCTCTCTATCTACCTCTTTATTTCTCTCTCTCTCTCTTGTTTCTCTCTCTCTCTCTCTCTCTCTCTCTTTCTCTCTGCATATATATATATATATATATATATATGTATATGTATATATGTATGTACGCATGTTTCTCTGTCACGGTTTCTCTATCCCTGTCCCTGGAGTGGGATGCCACAACCAATGGGCAAAGCCCCCGCTGTCTTACAAAACTGTGTTGGACTTGGGTCTTGGCTGGCCTATGAAAACGGCCAAGATCTCGCCCGCTTTTCGTGCTTGCGTCCAGCCGCGACTGGCGATGACGCCCCGAAGCGAAATCGAAACAAAATTGTTCGCAGCCGGTCCTCGCGGCCGGGCACGCGCGCCCCCCCCAGCGTCATTGGCACAACCGCTCGGGCGCACATGTTACGCGCCATCCGCCCTGCAAGCAAACGCAGCAGCCACGGCGGGAGGAGGGGCGAGGAAAGGCGGAAAAGGGAAGGTGAGCATTGGTGAATGCTCCTTTTGTAAAAGAATAAATAGGTTCTACCCCCCCTCCGGATTTATACCCCCCCCCCCCGGAAATGTCTGACCCAATGTCCACCCGACCTTTACATTCCTACTATCCCAGCCAAACTGGCATCGGCCCCAACTCGGCGCCTGTGCAAAACATATGACACGATGGCATGTTTGCTCTGACATAACACTGTTTCGCGAAGTCCTTGCAAGCGTTGGACGAAGTGCGCGCGCGCGTCGTCGCGCGCGCATGCCGAAATCCGTCCAAAACCTTCGGTATCGAAAGGGTTTCAAAGCCCCCCACCACCACAAAAAAATATGGTTCCGCAACGCGGATGTTCAACAAAAACGCGCGCGCGCTCTTGTGGATTCTTAGAGAAAAAAAAAACGCACACGCTTTTCAACATGTTCAAAAAATGCTACCAATAGGGCTTCGCGCGCGCACGTCGGAATCGTTCGAACGCCCTTGCACGCGTGCTGGGGTGGCACGATCCGCGCCAAACAATGCCATGCGAGCCACTCTCGCGCGTCTGCCGAGCGTGCATTTCGACTTCCTTCCAACACCTTCATCACCGACGCGAAGGCGCCGTCATCGTCAGCGTGATCAGCATCGGCGCCGTCACTGGCTGCCCCGCCGTCGCTGCCAGCATCGTCGCCAGCGCCACTACTATCATCATCGTGTCTGCCGTTGTCGACGTTGCCATGATAGCGCGCCCGCCCAAGTCGCCGACTCGCACTCAAGTGCCCACTGGCATGTGCCGAGCGGTCGGCACCACCGCGTTCGCGTCGGCCGCGCCAAACTACCTGGCCGCTGCGTGCGCGAGGGCCGCAGGGATGCCCCAACGCCCAGCACTCATCGCGGTCGTTCCTGCATGGGTTTTGCAAACCGCGTTGCGGGTGGGCGCGTGGGATGATTGCGCGAGCAATGGAAATGGCAACTTCAAGTTCGGCAAATGAGTTCTGCTTTCTAAGAAATAAATTCGACTCCTCCCCCCTGGACTTAAAGACCCCCCCTTTTCGCGTTGCAATGTACGCATGATTCTGCCCCATCGTCCATTCAAACTGTGAATTCATACTGTCCCAGCCAAACCGGCATCGCCCCCCCCGCCATCCTCCGCAACAAATACTGCGCAGGTTCGGCAATAGCGGCTACAGGCGGTCCACCGCCAAATCGGACGAAGAAACTCAAACCCCTAAAAAACTTCAAACAATCTAAAAAGCCCAAACCTGCGGAAATCTCAGATTCCCCAAAAACTTCAAAAATCGTTTAAAACCATTGCGACCATCTCAAACTGTAAAAAACAGCCAAAATATATCTAAGCCAAAACCTGCGAAAATCTCAGACTCTGGAGAACCTCGCAAAAATCTCTAAGCCAAAACCTGCGAACATCTCACACTTTAAAACAACGTCAGCAAAAACTCTAAGACGAAACCTGGGGAAATCTCAATGCTTAAAAAACTCAAAACCGGAACTCAAAAAAACAATAAAACAACTATACAAAATTCCAACATCTCTTAAAAACCTCGAAACGCCCAAAAACTCGGGAAGCAACTCCAAAACTACTCAGCAAAAACTCTAAACGCCTAACTTTTCAAAAAAGAACTAGAATCAACATTCTAAACAATCTAAAAAACTTTGGGGAACTCCAAAACAACTCTAAACAAATGTCTGACCGCCAGCCTAACACAAAAAACAATGGATATACGGTAAAAAATATAAATCCAAACTCCGGCTTCAATTTTGAGATTTTCGCATGTGTTGGCTTAGTGTGTTGTAGTTGTTTGCTCAAGTTTGAGATTTCCGCAGGTTTTGGCTCAGAGATGGTTTGACGTTTTTTTGTTTAGAATTTAAGATTTCCGCAGGCTTTGGCTTAGGTATTGTTTGAAGTGTTGGGGGAGGTTGAGTTTCCTGCTGAAGATGTTCCGAAGATTTCGGCTGGTTTACTCGATGGACCTCTAGTATAATTGCCGAACCTAACACTATGCGCGCGCACTCGTTTACCACAAATCACAAGTTTTCAGGAAACCCTTGCAACACAAAAGCGAAATGCACACGTGCGCGTCGTCGCGCGCGCATGCCGAAATCCTTCAAACACCGTCCGTTCCGGAAGGATCTTGAAAACGAATCTCCCAAAACGCATACCTATATATATATATATAACAAAACACAAAAACGGCAGGACATGACAACTCCACCTGATGACCCCCCACCCTCGTAGGGGGCCACATGCGAACCCTACCCCTATTCCCCACGATTTCTGAGGGGGAGGGTGGGGTTCACTTCATGCGGGAGCTCCCGAGCGAAGTGAACCCTCCCCCTCAGAAATCGTAAGGGATAAGGGTAGGGTTCGCATGTGGCCCCCTACCTCGGCCACCACGCCTGGCCACCGCAGGCCCCCCAACCCGCTCGAAGGCCCAGGGCAGCCGCCTGCGGGTTGGCTCCCGTGGAAACAGCACAGAATAACATCGTGCTCTTGACTCCTCCTCCTCCTCCTGCTGCTCCTCCTCCTCCTCCTGTTTCTCCTCCTCCGCCTCCTCCTCTTGAAGCGCAAGGACGTGCGCCAGGGACCTAAGGGGCAACGGTTTACCTGGGGACCTCCGCCCCGAAGCGCTGCAGGTCTCGAAAGAGAGGGCAGTGGGCCCTGAACGAGGGGGGTCCTCTGGGCAACAAACGGCTTGACCAGCCCGGTGTGTCCGGGGCCGCGAGAAACGCGACCTGCGCCGCGCGCGCCCAGGAAGAGTCTCCAAACCACCTCCACAGCTTCGAGCCAGCCTCGCTCCACGCGGGCCCAGGAGACGGGCCCCGAACTCCGCTGGCGGGAACGGCTGCAGGAATGATGACAAGGCAAACCAGAATTCGGAAGCGGCCGGGCGCGCCCCCCCCCCTCCCCCCGTCCTTCACGGCGCAGAGTCGCGGGGCACAACGGCGCAGGGCGCAGCGATGCTGTCGGCGACGCTGACCGCGCGCGGAGTAGCACGAGCGGGGACAAACAACTGGGGGTCTGAAGGCGGCACCCGCCACAGCACCTCCCCTGCAGAAGGGGCCGCAATCGAATACCCTTGACACTGCGGCGAGGCCGCTCCGGAGTGAAGACTACGCCTGGGACGGGCCAGCGGCGGGACAGGCACCCAAAATCCAAGTGGCTTCGCCCCGCGCAGCCTGCCCCGAGCCCCCCTCCCCGACCCGACCCCTCGGACCCTCCCGCCCCCCCCCTCCTCCTCCTCCTCCTCCTCTCCTCCTCCTCCTCCTCCTCCTCCTCCTCCTCTCCTCCTCCTCCTCCTCCTCCTCCGCCGGCAGGCCCCGCGGCTCTTGCAGCGGGCCCGAGGGCCCGCGGGAGCAGCGCCGATCTGGTCCCCTGGCTGCGGCTGCCCGCCCAAGCGGCCGCGCTGCCGCTTCGGCGGCGCCGTCCAGGTCACGGCGGCGACGCCTGGTGGCGAGCCTCATGAGCAGGGGAAAAAAACATGACATAAACATAAAAACTCTGAGGTCCGCGCGGATTTCCCGGATCCGCGCTGGAGCCCCCTGGCGGCGCCTCCGGCGCCGCCCCTGGCGCGCTCCGCGCGCCAGGGAGGGGGGTCCAGCGCCGATCCGAGAAATCCGCGCGGACCTCCGAGTTTTTGAGCAATGAATGCCTCGTGCCCTTGCCGAGCCTTCTCCACGTGCGCCACTGCCTCCGCGAACGCCCTGGCAACGGCTTCCTCGGTATCAAAAGCCTGCTGAAACGGCTGATCCGATCGCTGCTTGTCATAACAACAAACCTCACACTCATCTGCGCCAAGAGAAAACATGTCTTCAAACGTGATGAGGTCATCTGCCTGTCCGTCCATCCTCCTCGACCGCGAGCTTAGCCTCTGGCGCCTAGCCAGACGGTTGGCCAGACTGTGCGACAAAGGACGGCGCCAAAGCCTTACGCTCAGCCTCACATCGGGAAAACTCGCGCGCAGCTGCCACCGCCAGAAATGGCTCGTCGAGAGGCTTCTCGGGATTGGTGAAGAGGGCGACATGTCTGGACAACTTCTGCCCCGCCGCGCGAAGTGGGTGGATGATCTGGTGAACCTTGCGTTCCATGGGCACCGCGGAAGCCGGGACGCGTCTGGAGTCCAGGATCGCTCGGTACTTCTCGGAGCTTGAACCACCAGTCTTCTAGTTAGCGCCGACATGACGGGCGCAAGCTCACTCGCAGACATGTCGCATCCAGTGATTGTTGCTTCGCCTTGCTGCTGCCCGCTTGGCACTGTCGCCCTCTCGGTGTCCACGACGTGGACACCGAGAGGGCGACGGTCCTCCACGTCGTGGATGCCCCAGCAGATTTGATAGGTCACGAAGCGTCCCTCCCCCTCTTCCTGAGGATCCCGTCCGCAGCGACTGCGCCCAGCCTAAAGACGAGGCGAGCCCTCCCCCATCACCACCATCCGTCCCGCCACCCAAGGGCGCCGTCCTAGAAGGGGCTCCATGAGACAATCGTCGTCCATCAGGAGGTGGGATTGATGGGGGTTCCGTCGCGCCTGCTCGGACCCTCCGAGAAGTGGCGGCCGCGGTGCGCTGCTTCGACGCTGCTTCGACGCAGCGCCGCAGAGCAAATGCTCCCCTGGGCTTCCAATCCATCCGCAAGCGAGGGCCATGTAGCCAATGCGCCCTCTCCACCCCAACTTGTTTTCGTGGGAGCTCCACGGCGAACGACCCATCACGGTTGGTCTGGAGCCAAATCCAGCGGAAAGCCTCCGCCATGTCCCGTTGGCGATGACCACCGGCAGGCCCGGATGGCGGTTCTTCCGCCACGGGCCCCCCTCGCCACATCGCGGCGAAGCGTCTGGAGCACCGGGGGGCGGAGGTGCTTGCGGCCAGTCTGCATCATCCCTCGATGGCCATGGTTGAAACGAACCTCTGCCGACATCGTCCGACCAGGGTCATCTAGGGGGGCCGGCCTCAGGGGGGGATACCACCCCCTTGAGGAAGGGCTCCGCCCTGGGACCGCCGCAGGACCCGGCCCATTTTCGCATCCTTCCAACATTTCTACATCGCCTCCTCCACATGGCCTGTGACGTTCTGGCGTGGCTGGGCCGAAAATCGGGCTTGGACCAGCGGCAGCCCCAAAAAGAAATTATCCTGGCGAAGGGCCCCGACAAATGCAAGTGTGAATACCGCGAAGCTGGCAGGACGAGGAGGGGCGGATTTTCCTGTACGCGCCTGGTGTGCGCCAACAAGGGCGGGGAGCCACACGTGGACGCACCCACTGGGGACTAAACGTGTGATAGGTGCGCCAAAACGAAAGGGAACCGTTGTTGTCGCACCCGCTGGGGACTGTCTACTGGAGCTCCGTATGGGGGCACGAAGCGTGTGAGGTGTGTGTCTAATCGGGCAAAGAGCCGTATGTGGACGCACCAAATGGAGCCGTAAGCTGAGTTCCCCGAGGGGCCACGAAACGCGCGATGGGCGTACAGGAATCGGCTGGGGGACGCTGTGCCGTACCACCCCCTAGGGGGTTCGGTGGAATTCCTTGTGGGGCCCCAGAACGTGCGAGGCGTGTAGTCACACATATCAGGACACGCCATGCGGTACCACCCCATGGGGCCTTCGGTGGATCTTCTCATAGGGCCACGAAACGTGAAAGAGGTATGCCGAACTGGAGGCGGGTACCGCATAGCCCCCTTATGGGCTGCATGGGGCCGATGATGGCAATGGTAATGACAAAGATGGTGTTGGTAATGGTGGTGATGGTGGTGATGATGACGATGATGCTGAGGATGACGGTGATGTAGATGTGGGTGATGATAATGTAGATGATGATAATGTTGATGCTGATGATGATGATGATGACGATGATGATGATGATGGTGATGATGGTAATGATGGCGCCGATGCTGATGCTGATGATGATGCTGACGCTGGTTATGATGATGAGGATGATGATATGATGAGGATGTTGATGATGATGATGGTGATGATGATGATGACGATGATGATGATGCTGATGATGATGATGATGACGATGCTGATGAGGATACTGATGATGATGATGATGGCACTGGCGCCGATGATGATGATGACGATGATGATGATGATGATGATGATGATGATGATGATGATGATGATGATGATGATGATGGGGGGATAACGGAGGCGATGCGGATGATGACGACGATACAGCTGATAAGTTAGGATGACGATGATGGTGATGGTGATGGTGATGTTGCTGATGTTAGTGGGGGGCATGCGGGGTGCAAGAGCACGTGCGGGAGGGGAGGGAGGCAAGCGGCGGGAGTGAGGTGACGCGGGGCGTTTTTCAAAACGAGAACCCCACACCACATAATGGCTGGGCAAATGCATATCCGGAGATCTATAATTATCACCTCCTCCTCCACCTCCTCCTCCTCCTTCTCCTGTGGCCGCGGCGCGGGTCTGTCGCAACGCCCGCGTGTGCGCCCGCACTGACCACCGCCGGCACCGCGACGATCCAGTCGGCGACGAAGAACACCTCCTCTTCCTCCTCCTCCTCCTCCTCCTCCTCCTCCTCCTCCTCCTCCTCCTCCTCCTCCTCCTCCTCCTCCCCCTCCTCCCCCTCCTCCTCCCCCTCCCCCCTCCCCCTCCCCCCCCCCTCCCCTCTCGAGCCCGCGGGGCCCGGCGGTCCAGCTTGCCCGCGGGCTCGCCCTCCTTGCTGTCGGCGGGGACGACCCGGGGAGCCTCGCAGTGCCGAGGCTGGGGACTCTGGCGGCCCAGGGGCGGGCCCGAAGCTCGCTGCTGCGCCCCTGGCCCGGGCAGGGCAAGGGAGGATGCACAGTCAAAACGTAGACTAAGGACGCGTGGTAAGGACGCAACACCCTTGGAGGCTGAAGCTGGGATTTTTGGGGCGGCGGCGACCAGTGAAAACGGCAAAGGACGGGCCGGGCCACAGAGGCAAGAACGCAAGGGCATCCTAGATGAAGGCGCGCGTCCTTACTAGGCGCGTTGACTGTACCAATGGAAGTCCCTGGGGGGACAGGGGGCAGCATTTTCGATTCGCGGCGAAAACGGGCGCCACGGGGGGCGAGGGGGGAGGCGGGCGGGGGGGGGATAACGTGACGCTGACCCCCCCCCCACCGTGTGGATCCCGACGCACCTCGGCAGTGCTGGTGACGCACTGGCGGGGGGGGGGCGGGGGGGAACGTTACGTTATGGGGGGGGGCGTAACGCGCCTTCTGGCCCAGAGGGTGCAAAAACGTCCTCGAGGGAGGACAGGGAAGGCCCTCCGAGGCGCTTCCAAGCGTTCCCAGGCGCCCCCAGGCGCTCCCAGGCGCCCCCACGCGTTCCCGAGCGCTCCTGGGTGTTACCAGGCGCTCCCAGGAGCTCCCGGGCGCGCCCAGGCGCTCTCGGGCGTGGCCAGGCGCTCCGAAGCGTCCCCGGGCGTTCCAAAAGGCGACCCAACGCATGGAACAAGATCCAGACATCTGATTTGTACTGAGCATTTTCTTAGAGTGGAAGGCACATGGTGAAATCCGTATGTGAAGGGGCCCCAGGACACACAAATAAATACACACAAATGAAACGATTCCCCATATTTCCCCATATTTGCTGGGTTTTGTCTTCCCCCCCACTTCCCATATTTTCCCATATTTTCTGGGGGGTCGACGATTAATTGTGTCTGTGTTTTTGTTCCCTCCTGAATATGGGCTTTCGCACCTCGAAGATCCATCCGTCTTGGGATTCACCTTTTGCAGACTCAGACCTCGAAAATCCATCGAAAAGGCATTTCATATTTCACCCTCTGCATTCAGCTCGGAATTGTCCCCGCATGAATTTTCCTGGCCTTTTGTACTTTGTCATGCTCTGCCGATGCGCCGTCTGTGCGCGGCTTTACCTGTCCTCTCCACCCGCAGAAGATGCTCGGCTGCATCATCTTCGGTCTCTGCAGGCCCTCGCAGGGGCCCCGGGCCCGACAGCAGACGACTCCTCGACGAGGAGGCGGCCCCTGGGAGCGGGCGGAGACCTCCTCGGGGGCCCCGCACAGGGGAACGCGAAAAATGACATAAACATAAAAACTCGGAGGTCCGCGCGGATTTCTCGGATCGGCGCTGGACCCCCGTCCCTGGCGCGCGGAGCGCGCCAGGGGCGGCGCCGGAGGCGCCGCCAGGGGGGCCCCAGCGCCGATCCGAGAGATCCGCGCGGACCTCCGCGTTTTTGTGCTTGCGTCACTCTTCTAGTTCCCCTGAAGCGACTCCGCGACGGGAAGGCGGCCCCTGGGAGCGGTCGGAGACCTCCTTCCTGGCGGAAACGTCCAGTGCACGATGAAGCCTGGGTCCGCCGTCTTGCCCTGCACGCCGTGCAGAGTGCCCTGCTTCTTGGGCAGCACGGTCAACTGTGTCCGGGGGCCCCGCAGGGGAAACCAAGTCGGGGCATCGGTTCTCCGGGGGCCCACATCTCCGGCGGCGGCGGGCAGCGGCGGCGCGGCGGGGGAGCGGGGGGGGGGGCGGCGCGCGGGCGCCGCCTGGCGCTGGCACGGCGGGCCGGAGGCTCGGGCTGAGCTGGCGCCGGGAGGAGGAGGAGGAGGAGGAGGAGGAGGAGGAGGAGGAGGAGGAGGAGGAGCAGGAGGAGGAGGAGGAGGAGGAGGAGGAGGAGGAGGAGGAGGGGGGGGAAGGGGACGAGGAGGAGGAGGACGAAGAGGAGAAGGAGGAGGAGGAGGAGGAGGAGGAAGAGGAGGATGGACCAGAGTAAACCAAAGACGCATCAACGATGCTGGAATGCGGCCTCCCTCCAAGCTCCCCCTCTTCACGGGCCTCGACATGCAAGCAATGTCACTGAAAGAGATGCCCCGTTGGGGGACAACCGTGCAAAGACCCTGAAGCGTGCCAAAGCACCACTCTCGGCGGTGGACAAACCTCCCTTTAGTAGACCTCCCCTTAATGAAAACAGCCTGGGACCGAAACCGACGGACCCGGACCCGCAAAAACGACGGCCGCGACGCCCTCTCGCGAACCGAAAACGGCCAATTCGCTAATCGACGTGTCAGGGTAGGAGGTCTGTCCACCCCCGACACTCTCGGGAGTCCAACGCCACGAAGCGAACGAACTGTTGCGGCACGACGATCCTGAATAGTGCCAGAACGCCGTTCTTGGGACTGCAACACAACGAGTCCACATAACTGTTCGCCTTGATAGCCTTGAACCGTTCCCTAGCACTACTACTGGTACGTGAACCCTGCGAATCCGTAAAACTCTTCAAAGTTCTGCTCAGACGAATATGCGCAACGCTAAAAACGACCCGCCTTCAACCCGTGAAACTCTTGCAACTGTTTAAAAGGAATGCGCGCGGCGCTAAAACGAGAGCAATCTGTTGAAAACGACCTGTCGTCAATCCGTGAAACTTGCACATGCTCAAATTTGATGTGCGCGGCACTCATGCGAGAACCACGATATGAAAACGACCCGCCCTCAATCCGTGAAGCTCTTGCAAATGTGTGCAACGAATGTGCGCGGCGCTCAGGCGAGAGCCACATTTTGAAAGCCACCCGCCCTCTATCTGTGAAACTGCTGCCACATGCGAAGCTTCAGGATCAGTAATGGTGAGGAACTCTCGGGCGAAACGCCTGGTCCACCTTTTCGACCAGCCTCGGGGTGCGACAGGGAAGAGTAATTTATCAGGAAGAGAGGAGTGGAGGAGGAGGAGGAGCAGGAGGAGGAGGAGGAAGAGGAGGAGGAGAAGGAGGGAGAGGAGAAGGGGGAGGGGGGAGAAGAAGGAGGGGAGGAGGAGGAGGAGGAGAAGGAGGAGGAGGAGGAGGAGGCGGAGCAGGAGGAGGAGGACGAGGAGGAGGCGGAGGACCATTGTAGACCCAAGAGCTATCAACGATGTTGGGATACACCCTTCCTCCAAGCTCCCTCTACATAGGCCCCTACAACGGTTCATTTCCATTGGGGGATCTGCCTCGTTGGAAGACAACCGTTTGAAGACCCAGAAGCATGCCAAAACATCGTTCTCGGGATTCCAACGCCACGAATCAACCTGACTGTTGCGTCTTGACTATCCCGGATCGTGCCAGAACGCCGTTCTTGGGATTTCAACGCCGCGAATCAACGTATATGTTGCACCCGCAGAATCCTGACTCCTTCCAGAAAACCAATTACGATACGTTGATCGTGGGGATCCGTGAAACTCTGGCAAAATCTATAAACGAGTGTGCGCGGCGCAAATTATGGCGAGGGCCACATCTTGAAAAAGAGCCGCCCTCAATCCCGAGGAGCATCGGCGCGGCATGGGGACCGGACGTCCGTCCGCCCGGAGGGGGAGGAGGATGAGGAGAGGGGAGGAGGGAGGAGGAGGAGAGGGGAGGAGGGGAGGAGGGGAGGAGGAGAGGGGAGGAGGGAGGAGGACGAGGAGGGGAGGAGGAGAGGGGAGGAGAGGAGGATGAGGAGGATGAGGAGGAGAGGGGAGGAGGGAGGAGGACGGCATCGGATCCCTGGGGGGGCCCAAATCTCCAACGACATGATGTTTTCAGCCAGCGGCTTTTCCTCGATGTCGGCCCTCGGAGGCCGTTTTCGGGCTCAGAAACAATTTAGAGCGTGTGCTGGGGAAGCGGTCGGGACCTGTGGGGCCGTGGGTTGAGAACAGTCATCTGCTTCCAGGCTTGCAGAAGGAGTCATGGAAGTAGGCCAAAATTGTCCTGGAAGCAACGTGCGCGCGTTGTCTCTACGATCTCCACTACCCCGAGGATTCATGCCAAGATTTGCCCCGCCCCCGCCAGGCATGTTCAACCCGATGGCGAAGGACTGTGTCCTGCGGGGGAAACTGGTTGGAAAGCGATGGCCCAAATTGGCCAGAGACCTGTCCAACGCAGAAGGTAGGGAAACAAACTCTATACACCGACGCTTTCCCCGACCCTGCGCTGAAATCCGCACAAGAACGCGGATTATGGTGTATACGGGATCCTGGTGCATACAGTTGCTTCGTTGTTTCCCTTGGAAAGCGGGGGAAAAGCACACACCACACCACCCTGACGTCGTCCCCGACCCTTAAAAAGTCATGGGATTGAAAAACAATCCGCCACTGGTACACGCCGGTCGGAAGTAGTAGATCAACACATGAAGTAGGAAGGCGGATAAAGTCGATTGGGTTCAGGCCCTCCCAGAGAATAACAAAACACAACAGAAGCACATCGACTATTGAAGCAGGAAGGCGCTTGAAATAGATTGGGATCTGGGAACCCAAAAATACCTACTTTCAACGACCGGCGTGTAATGTATATGTTTAAGTCAGACCTGTCCCCCTGCAGGGGGATTTTCGACGAAAAACAGAAGAACATACACCAAAATGCTAAAACACAAATTCCAAAAATACTCTGGGGACTATTTGTGTGGTTTGTATTGTTTGACCTTTTTGAGCGATCTTCGTCGACAATCCCCCTGTAGGGGGACACGCCCGACAGAAGCATCTACTCGAGTCTGCGAGACAGGGGGCCAGCGGCAGCCTGCGGGAGCGGGCCGGGCAGCTGCGCCCGTGGACGGCCCCGGCGGCCGCGCGCCGCGCCGCCCCCCCCCAAGCGTGGGGCCCCCGCCCGCCGTCGGAGCCCTTGGGCGTGGCTTCATGGGGGGGTCACAAATGGGAGGGTCAGAAAAGGTCCCCTTTTTGGGGCCCCTCCAGAGCCCCAGGGGGCTCGTTTAGGTACCGTTTGGGTACCTTTTCGGACCACCCTCGCCACCCCCCTATGTAGGACC